ATCGGGGAATTCGATGGGATCCGGTTACATTCCCGCAGATAAAGCGATGACGGATTCGCGGCCGCCCGCCCCGCGGAAAGACCCGGCTCCCGTCTCCTCCCCGAGCACAGGAGCGGGCTGAGGGCGGCGGCGTTTGGCAGCCACTCTGGCAGGGTGGGGGCAGCTTCCCGAGCCCAGCCTGGCCTGGGAGGGGCAGGGGGTGCAGGGTCACATGTGACCGATTCCGCCTGCTCGTGCCCAGGGCTGGGGACGCATGTCACAGCTCAGAGCAGTCCTGGTCCGTTTGGCAGACCGAGACAGGAGATGCGCCTGGTGCTTGTCCGCGGGGCCCGGCCGGGGGTCCCGGTTCCCAGGCTGACGGCAGGGCGGAGGTTTGCGGGGGTCTGAGGGGCTCCTGTGGTGGGAGGAAGCCTGACCTTGAGCAGCAGAGAGCTCACCGTGGAGGAAGGACCTCATGTGGAGGCCGGGGTAGAGGCCGGGCAGGGCCGTGGGGGGGCGAAGGGACCAGGGAGAAAGTCTTGAATCTTGGGGGAAGCCGGGTGGGCCGCAGAGGCCGAGCCCCCCCCGTCCCCCTCCCCGCAAGCCCTGACCCTCCCCCTGTGGCCTGGGAGGCGGCGACCTCTGACCCCCGCCCCAACCTGACGGCTGCGCCCGCCGCCCGCAGTACTCGTACGAGGGGAACGACGTCAGCGACCTCCCCGTGAACCTGTCGGTCGTGTGGAACGGCAACTTCGTCATCGACAACCCGCAGAACATCCAGGGTGAGCGGCGGGCCCCGCCGGGGTCAGGGGGACGGCGGCGGCGGCGTGCAGGGCAGGGCAGGGTGAGCCGACCGCGTCCCTCTCCCCTCGCCCCCCCCGCAGCCCACCTCTACAAGTGCCCGGCCCTGCGCGAGAGCTGCGGCCTCTGCCTCAAGGCCGACCCGCGCTTCGAGTGCGGCTGGTGCGTGGCCGAGCGCCGCTGCTCCCTGCGCCACCACTGCCCGGCGGACGCAGCCTGGATGCACTCCCGGCACGGGGGCAGCCGCTGCGCCGACCCCAAGATCCTCAAGGTAGGTCCCCGCGGCGGAGGCAGTGGAGGCCGGCCCCACCCGCCCTGCGCGGCGGGACCGACCCGCCTCTGTCTCCCCGCGCAGCTGTCGCCCGAGACGGGCCCGCGGCAGGGAGGGACGCGGCTGACCATCACGGGCGAGAACCTGGGGCTGCGGTTCGAGGACGTCCGCCTGGGCGTGCGCGTCGGCAAAGTGCTGTGCAGCCCGGTGGAGGCCGAGTACATCAGCGCCGAGCAGTGAGTGCGGCCGGGCTGGGATTTGGGGGGACGGGGGGACCCCGCCCATCTACAGCCGCTGAGGGCCCCCCCCGTGCCCCCCCCAGGATCGTCTGCGAGATCGGGGACGCCAGCACGGTGCGCGCCCACGACGCCCTGGTGGAGGTTTGCGTGAGGGACTGCTCGCCCCCCTACCGGGCCCTGTCGCCCAAGCGGTTCACGTTCGTGGTGAGTCCGGCCGGGGCGTGGTCCCCTCTGGGGCGTCCTCCCCGGGGTCCCCCTCGTCCAGCCACGCGCCGTGGCTGCTGCCCGTCCGTCCGGCTCCGGGGGGCTCCCCGGCCCGCCCGGCGCTGCGTCTGGGACCCCCAGCTCCGGGGCAGGGGGGCTCCTCCTGGCACAGAAAATCGAGGCACGGCGGGGCCTGTCCCCACGTGGCCCAAGAGGGACGTGTCCCCGGAGCTCCACCAGGCCCCTTCTCCCCGCAGACGCCAACCTTCTACCGCGTGAGCCCCTCCCGCGGGCCTCTCTCGGGGGGCACCTGGATCGGCATCGAGGGCAGCCACCTGAACGCCGGCAGCGACGTGGCCGTGACCGTCGGTGGCCGGCCCTGCTCCTTCTCCTGGTACGGGGGGTCGGGCCGGGGGCGGGCCGCTCCTCCCGGTTCAGGTGGCTGCCTGACCCCCCGCCGTTGCCCAGGCAACGGGGGGATGGAGAGCTTGGCCGGGGTGATCGCTATGGAAACCCGGAGATGGAGGTTACCATGGAGACAGGGGCCGCCTCCAGGGTGGGGAGAAGGGCGGGGCTTGTCCCCCCCCCCCCCAGGGTGGGCGCAGCCCGGCTGCCTCCCCCCTGGTCCTTCCCTGGGATGGGGGGGACATCTGTATTCACAGAGAAAGGAGAATTTAAGCAAAATCGTGAGAGAGAAAACAGACATCTCTACAAAAGCCCCGAGGCTTGGAGTGGGGAATTCTAGCTTAAGGATGATAACGGAACGTCCTTTTAAATATTTTACTGTGGTTATTGTCCGTTATCAGACTAAGGGAGAGAGTTTGCAGGGAACAGCCTGGCGGCTGCGGGGCCCCTAACTATAGTGGGGGAGCTGGGGTCGGGCCGCGGGCCTGTCCACGGGGTGACCCAGTGACCCCCACCCTGGGTCGGGTCTCACGGGCCAGAGATCGGGGGATTAAGCCCCGTTTTTCAGATTGGGACAGGCATCAAGAGGGAGGGTGTCTGCCTCAGGGCGGTGGGAGCGGGCCCTGGACCCCCTCGGTATACTAGGGGTGCTGGGGGCAGGCCCTGGACCCCCTCAGTACATTAGGGGCGGTGGGGGTGGGTGCCAGACCCGCTGGGAACACTCGGGGTGGTGGGGGCGGGTCCTGGATCCCCCCTCGGAGCACAGGCTGGGAGAGGGCAGCCCTGCGGCAGGCGGGGCAGGTGGGGGCCGTGGCCTGGCCTCACTGGGCCTCCCTGGCGGTGGAGGCCAGAGGTCAGCCCCCCGCCTGCCGTCCCAGGGCTCGTGTGACGGAGCCGGGACGTGTTCCCGATGCCACCTCTCC